TTCCTAACGAGCTGTTCGCCGAAAAAAAATAAGTGCCAAGACTGTTGCAGTAGAGGATTGAGAAAAGACCTGTTGAGCAGACTGATCCAATGTAGTGGCCGCCCACATGCCAGATGAGGACCTATGAGACACAAGCAAAGGCAAAGAATCGTGTCTAGCAAATGGAAAAACATACTCGTCAAAGCGAACATGCCTACAGACATAGATCATGATAGTGTTAAGGTCTATGCATCTATACTCCTGAAATAATGTAGGATAACCTAGGAAGATACACATAGTAAATTGATAATCCATTTTTTGACGGTTATAGGGATAGGAAATGGATAACATAGACACCCGAACACAAAGAGAAATGAGTAGGAAGGAGAACAACGATGTAAAACATGGTGTGGACTAGAATTTGCCAATGTGGACAAAGGAATTTTATTAGTGAGATACATAGTAGTTTTAAAAACATACTCTCAAAACCGTGGGGAAACTGAAGCCTATGTCATAAGAGTCAGCCTTGTGTCAACAATATGCCTATGATGACTCTCAATACGCCCATTCTACTCACGAGTATAGGAACAGGACTGACGATGACTAATACCCAATCGAACACGGATAGCGTTTAACTTTTTATACTGCCCCAAGGTCAGACTGAACAAATTTGATTTTACAAGAGAATGAGCATTCAACCATCACTCGGAAGTGGTCAAATACAACATATAAATTGATTTTAAGCACAAGAGATAAAAACAAGTATAATACAAAAAATCATCCACAAAATGCACGAAATAAATAAAATCGTTCGAAGACAAATGAGGGGCAAGACCCCAAATATCCATATACGCCAAGTTTAAAATATGTGAACTAGAAGACTCGACCATATATAAAGAAAAACGGGAAGATTTCCTTAATTGACACATACCGCACAAAGACAACAAGTGATCACGACAAGATAAACTAACAAGATAGTTTATCTTTAAGAACTCAACGCAAGACGTGATGATGCAATGACCAAAACGTTTGTGCCAAACTAAAGGTGAAGCACGAGTAGAGAAAATAACAGTAGGAGCCGCACAAGACGCCGGCAACAAATCTAGACCACTCTAACTAGGACCCTTAAGTAGAACCTCCATTGTTTTCAGATCCTTCAACACAAAGAAAGAAGGGTAAAAAAAAAAAAAGACATGGTTTTCAGAAGCAAATAGCTGAAAAAATAATAAAGAGGTAGACAAACCAAGAACATGCAACATATCACACATGTGAAATGACCTAGAAGGGGTAGCAAAAGAAGCATGACCAACACTTGAGATAGGCAAACCTGCACCATTGCTAACACATAAAGTGTCATTGCCAAGATATTCATCAGATGATGAAAGGGCCATAATATCCAGGGTGGCATGAGTTGTCGCTCTAGTGTTTGGGAGCTCATTACAAGAATCAAACAACGCATCATCGGAGCCATTCTAAACTATTAAATGAGCTCGTAATGTCGATGCATCGAAATACCGCTGGAAACACGTGACTGCTGTGTGGCCAACGCGATAATAAATCAAGCAGCTAGGTGCATTCTGTCGGCAATGTAATGTGAAGTATAAGTGAATGAATGGAATATTATTGAGCTTTGAGTGCAAATATATAGTACATCAAAGGATAAGCTCACAGAAGAAATAGCATGCAGTTACAACAAGAAGAAGACCTACTCTAAAGGAACCATAAACAGTTAGAGAATAATTGAAGTAACTAAATACTAAACCACTGCCTTATTATGCCCCTGAAAGATGGAGGATCCATTGGAGACACCAATCTTGGAACGAAAGAACTCAAACATCGCTCGACCAAGTGGCTTTGTGAGGACATCAGCAACCTGCTCCTTCGAGCTGATATGGCACACACGGAGTTCACCAGCAGCAACCGTTCACGAACAAAAAAGTAATCTAACGCTAGATGCTTCATGCGGGAGTGGAACACCGGATTCTTACAAACGTAGGTTGCACTAAGATTGTCACAAAACAACGTAGGACATTGGCGCAAACCAACACGCAGCTCCCGGAGTAATCCTTGTATCCACATAACCTCAGCTGCTGCATTCACAAAGGCTCGATACTCAGCTTCTGTTGATGATCGAGAAACTGACTTCTGCCTAACAGACATCCAAGACACGACATTCGAGCAAAAATAAACAACATATGCGGTTGTGGGCCGTCCACCATCTCTAACACCTCCCCAATCAGAATCTGAAAAAGTAGTCAAACTAAGAGGCATGCCACCCTTAAGAAATAAACCATGGTGAATCGTGCCTTTTAAGTAACGCAAAACACGTTTGGCAGCTTGCCATTGAGAGTCAGTAAGGGCATGCATGGACTGAGACAACCGGCTAATAGCAAAAGCAACATCAGGGCGGGGAGCTAATATCGTCCACGTAAACGAGAAAGTATGCAATAACACCATTCAAAGAATAAACAAATAAAGAGGTATCGGCCACTGACTTCTGGAAACCAAAATCTAGTAGAAAATGAGATAGTTCCAAATACCAAGCCCGGGGAGCTTGCTTAAGGCCATATAAGGCCTTCTGTAATCGACAGATATGAGACAGCCGTTGTTGATCAACATACCCTGGAGGTTGCTCCATGTAAACCGCTCCATGTAACACGCCATTTAAAAACGCGTTATTCACATCTAACTACCTTAAAGACCACTTTTGAGTCAACGCAATGGTAAGAACAACGCGAATGGTAACAGGTTTCATTACGGGATTAAATGTTTCAAAGTAATCCCGACCATGTTCTTGTAGATATCCTTTCGCTACAAGCCGGGCTTTATACCGCTCCACTGTCCCATCAGATTTTCGTTTGATACGATAAATCCATCTACAACCTACAGTAGTGTGACCATGTCTTGGAACAAGCTCCCATGTATTATTATTTTTAAGGGATGTAAACTCTTCATCCATAGCTCGACGCCACAAGGGATCCTTAAGAGCTCGAGAAACAGTTGCAGGTTAAAGGGTAGACGGTATAGGGTGATTGGTTGTACAATTAACATATGCATCCCCAAAATACTTAGGATTGGGGCGGCGAGTCCGAGTAGGACGGATAGGAGGTGCTTGACACTGTTTTGATAGTGGCGGTGGCTGTGGATGAGAGGTTAATGGCTGAGCAGATACTGTAGGTGAGGAGGTCGCAGATTGAGGTGAACCGGAATACTGGTAAGGTTGAGTAGTATATGGACTGGAATTGCATGGGGAGAGTGGAGGTGTGTGAGTAGAAGATGTAGGATGGTGAGGAGGATTTTTGATAGCATAGTCTGAATTTGCATTTTGGTGAGAAGTCTGAGGTGTTTGTGAAGGAGATAACGGTAAAGGGTGATTGTGAGTTGTTGTATATGAAGACACATGCGTAACCTAAGAGGGAAAGAATTAATTAAATAACGCAGAGGATGACCACCAGATGACGCATGGGAGACTCCTTTGGATGTATGACTTTTATCAAACACGGGAAATGGAAACTCATGCTCGACAAAGCAAACATGACGAGACAAATATAAACGGTTATTAGCAACATCTAGACACTTATAAGCTGATTGGGATGTAGAGTAGCCTAGGAAAATACATGGAATAGACTTTGGTTGTAACTTTGACGTTATATAAGGACGGAGCCACGGATAACAGAGACATCCGAAAGGTTTGAGCTTTTTGTAGTTAGGAAGTTTATTAAAAAAAAACTTGAAATGGTGATTGGTTACCCAAGACTGGTGTCGGCAGTCGGTTTATTAAATAGGCAGCTGTCTGAAAAGAATAAGACTAATAAGAGTTAGGTAATGACGCAGAATGTAACAAAGCTAGACCAGATTCTACAACGTGCCAGTGACGCCGTTCAGTTGTACCATAATGTTCAGGGGTATGGGGTGGAGAAGTAAAATGAGATATTCCATGGGAATTAAAGAAAGGAATAAGCTTTTGAAATCCCCCCCCCCCCCCCCATTATCTAAAAAGATCAGAAATAATTTTATGACCAAAATATTTTTCCACCAACCGTATGTTTGAAGTGTGGAAAAATAACAAAAACATCAGACTTCTTTTGCACCGGATATAGCCATATATATTTAGAGAAAAAATCAACAAAGATAACATAATATAAATACCCATCAATAGATTGGTGTTTGGTGCCCCAAACATCAGTATATATTAGCTCTAGTGGTTTGTGACTAGTCATGGTATTGACTGAAAAAGATAACTTATAGCTTTTATTAATATTACAAGAAGAACAATGGAAACTGCGAAGAGAGGAAAACCTAGTTGAGACATTATTTTGACGTAGGAGATCACCCAGGATTTTATTTGAGGGGTGTCCTAACCGATGATGCTAGTCCGATACAGATGACACGGTTGCAACATGAACTTGGGGCTGACGAGACAAGGTAGCATAATAGACATCATTGACATTCTCCCCTCGCATTAGAGACTCCCGAGTTTGCAGATCCTTAACAAGCAAGAAAGATGGAAAAAATTCCACAGAGACACGATTAGTTTTGCACAATTTTGATATAGAAATCAAATTGTTGCGTAATTTTGGAACACAAAGAACATTAGATAATGAAAGATTTCTTTTTGGTGTGGGGAGAGTAGTATGACCAGTATGTGATATTTTAAGACTTTTACCGTCACCCAAGTGTATTTCATCTGGACCTCCGTAATCAGCAAATGTTTGTAATGAAGAGGGAGTTGATGTGGCGTGATGAGATGCGCCGCTATCAAACAACCAAGGTTGTTGTGGTGGAACAGAAGCCATAGTAGCATTAGACGCAGGAAAATGAGTTGAAGTGGGAGCCTGGAAGGGACAAACATTATTGTCCTTTAAAAGTCTTGCTAGTTTACGGCAAAACCATGTCTCATGTCCCGGATAATTACAAAACCTCCAAAACAATGCATTCCTACCATTGTTTGAATTGTTCCAAGGTGAACGATTGTTCTGTCCATTAAAACCTCCACGAGACCGCCGTGAAAATTGACCACTCTAGTCGCGACTAGAATTATTAGTCTTGCCAGTAATACTCGGACCACCCTTCTGAGCAATATTGGCTGTCGCAAGCATGGTTTGGCGTTGATCATCGGCTGCTCTCAACATCCTTTCATGATCAGTCAAAATATCAGACAGTTCAGTGAAGGAGATTGGATTCTCCCGAATCCGAATGGCTGAAAAACACGGATTGTATTCCTCGCCTAATTGCGTAATGGCATATACAACTAAATCATCTTCAGGTACCGGACTGGCAGCCAAAGCTAGATCATCCGCAATAGCCCGCATTTCATTAAGATATTCAACAATAGTCCTATTTCCTTTAGGATATTTTGCCAGTTTGGCTTTCAGGGAGATAACTCGACCTCGTGAAGCGTTGTCATAGCTTGTTGTGAGGCGCTTCCATGCATCAGAAGCAGTCGCAGCAGAGGAGATAATGGGTTGAATGGTGTCGGAGCAACATCCGAGAAGGGCACTAACAATAATTTGATCCTGGCGATACCACGTCGTGTATGCCGGATTAGTTACTGTATGTGCATCATCAGAAAATTGTTTTGGGACAATTACCGTTCCATCAACATATCCAATAAGACCAAGTCCTATCAGTGTGGACTGAACTTGTCTTCTCCAAACAGAAAAGTTGGAGGCAGTGAGTTTGATTGGAAAATGTGTTGGAGCATTGAGTTGAATAATGGAAGTTTCTGTGGTGATGGCCATGACGGAATGGGGAAAAAAATAATAGTAATTTCTCGTTGGAGTATTTAGGCTTTGATTACCATGTGAAGTATAAGTGAATGAATGGAATATTATTGAGCTTTGAGTGCAAATATATAGTACATCAGAGGAGAAGCTCACAGAAGAAATAGCATGCAGTTACAACAAGAAGAAGACCTACTCTAAAGGAACCATAAACAGTTAGAGAATAATTGAAGTAACTAAATACTAAACCACTGCCTTAATATGTAACACCCCACTTTTCTAATCCTTAATTACAATTCTAAACACAATTAACATAAACTAAGCAGCGGATAAATAACTAAATAAGATAACTAGTGGGAATGTCACCGCCACAACCACCACTCCGTGGTGATTGCACAGGCTAAGGGTAGAACTAGAAACAATGATTTAATAACTAACATCCATAAACTTAACTGGAAGTCATAAGGGGGAAAAAAGACACCCCGAAGTCTACATCATCAAACGTCATCAATAACATAAGTCTAAATTCCGATAAATAACATCATAACCAAAACATTAAGAGTTTAGATTTCTATAACTACTAGACTAGTCTAACTCGTTCACTTCTCAACGCTGGGCCCACCTGAAAGGGGTTTTACAAACAACACATAGACAAATAAGAAAACACCCATTAGCACGAAGCTATGTATAACCACACTCAACCCTGTAAAGTACTATAGAATATACTTTGTAAAACATTTGATAACATTCGTATGCAACAAACTCATCTCATAGGTAACTTTATTCATATCACATACTTCAATATGGTTGCAACCTATAATATCAACATGCATGCTTCAAACCAAAAGACTTAACAACATAGATATTTCAACAAGTAAACATCACAACACACTTATCAAGCAACTCATGCTTACAAGCAATTTCATACTATAAATCAATACGAAAACTATCATCATGTAAACTGGATATACAAGATTTCAAAATGCAACTAAAACATCATACTCATAAACAAACTCGGCTAGTCATTCTCATTATGCAACTCATGCAACAATATACTCAAAAGCAATCTCATGCAAGACTATACTTTAATGCAATCTCGTGCAATACTATACTCAAATGCAATCTCGTGCAATACAATAAATATACTCAAATGAAATCTCGTGCAATACTGTAAATATACTCAAATGCAATCTCCTGCAATACTGTAAATTTACTCAAATGCAATCTCGTGCAATACTATAAATATACTCATACACTCATTGTAAAATTGAATACTTTCTGTGGAGGTCTCATTGAGTCATAAATGACTTTCATTCTTTCCCTTGAGTCTCTTGACTCGATATCTTTCTTGCTCAAGCTTTCTCATACTTCTCATTTCTCTTCTTGTGCGAGGCAGGTACTCCGCCGCAGCGAAGCCCTAGCGAACGGTGCAATCTCGGGCATCCGCCACATCCGTAACTACGGAACCTCTAACTCGTGGGGAGGTAGGTCTTCACGAATCGTGAATGGACCTAACCGGCTTGGCAATCTAACCGGCCACATACTCAACTCGCCCACAGAACCACTCTCTTGGTTCTATATCTTTCTTTCTTTCGTGTTTTCTCTGTGGAATCAGGTATCGTACTTTTAGTGTGCACACCCCCTGACAAGGATTCTAAGCCTGGCGGGAAGTCTCCAACCTCGTAACGTGGGAATACGCCGCGTTACATATACTGGGAACGCAATGTCCATAATAATGATCCGAGAGGACATAGTCCAAACGGGGTCCTCCAAAACCTCACTAATATAGATAATATATAAATATATCTCTCATGCATCAATCTCATGCATGCAACTACTCAACAACTTCTTAATGCATCAATTAATGATATACCACATGTTTATGGATTTTGAAAGTAATACTTGGGCTCACGTTGGCCCCTTATGCATTTTTGAAATATGATATATGTGGGATGGAAAATACTCTACAACGTGCTCCAAATCCATGTATATAATCCATAAAATTCTCAAGGATACCATATCATACTCGGTTTGCAACATAGCCAATTGTATACAATTTCTATCAACAAAATATGCTTCAAAACTCATTGATCAAATATCACATTTTAGTCATGCTTTTATAATAATCATATTCTCAAGTGATCATGCTTCTCTACTCAACACAAAAATAACATCAGACAACAAGGCAAAATATTTCTTCTTCACAGTGAACTTCATAATATATACTGTGAAACAATTCTCCAATAAATCCATCATAACATGCTCATTTTTAATCCAAATTCAACAAAATCAAAGCCAAAACGTGCGTCGAGACGGTACCGAGGTACCGAGCCACAAGGGCCCGTGACACCTGGCCCGAAACGACATGTAGCTGAGCCACATGGGCCTGGCCACTGCACAAAAACTCCTCAGATTAAAACTCAGGGACCTGGGGCGGGACTCCTCATGAGCCGCCCCATGAGTCCCGTTACATTGCCGGGCCTATGCAACGGCCCTCTCCTAGGGCCGTGCCCTAGGCCCGGGTAACCGTAGCTCTAGCCGGCGGCTCTCCTGATGGCCCGCGGCTAGGGCCGTTGGTCTGTTCTGGTGCACACTATGTGTGCACTAGATGGGCAAAAACAATCCAAACATGTCCAAAATATTCTCAACAACTCAAGGACAAATACTAGATCACTTCCAAGCATAAACACAACAAAATCTCATAATTTTTACTCATTTCTACTCAATATCAAAAGCTTCACAGAGCCAAAATTAAAGAGGGAGTCCATGAGGTTATACCTTTGTTGTCTCTTCTTCTTGTATGGATCCCCTCTTCCTCTCTACTTAGCTAGCTCCCCCTTCACTTCCTAAACTCCTCAAACAAACCATACAACAACACATAAGGGAGGAAACCTCAGAGATTCAAGGCAAAGAGATGAAGACCATAAGAAGGAAAATGAATGGAAGGCTAAGGGACTTACACGGTGTTTTTTGTTTTCTCCATCAACAGAGATCTCAAAGAGAGGCAAAGAAATGGGATCAGGAGACAACATTGTAATAGTGAGGTTTTTATAAGATTCAAAACCCTAGGTTGGTCACCAATGATTGGTTGAGGGCAAAGGAGTAATTTTCATAGGCTAGCAGAAGATGAATCAGGAAGAAATTTTGGATGGCTAGTGGTTCACCATGCTTCAAGGAACAAGGGCTTGAAATACTATTTTAAATACTTTGGGGTTGAAAATGAATTTTCTCAAAAAGTTTTCTAGATGAACACTTGTTTAAAGCTTCTCAGAATTCTCCCGATTTCACTCAGATTGTTTTCTCAGTTTAAAACGTGGTACACGAAGTACCCGAAAATTTAGGATTTTGGAATAAAGATAAATTTCGGTGTTGAAGTAATTTAAAATGTAACTCAAAATAATTTATTCAAACACCAATTTATCTCGAAAATTTTCAATGAAGTGAAAATAGATATTTTGGAATTTCTTAAAACCGAAGTTATAAAATTAAATTTTGGGTTGTTACAGGCTACTACTATACGATTACCACCTCTGAAACCACAACCGCATGCCACTAGCCACGACCATGGCCACGCTGTCGTGTCTCCTAGAAATAGCCACCACGACTAATAGTCATAGCAGTCGACAGTATGAATAGATCATGAATAGCAATAGCCGATAAGAAATTATTCGTGTATATAAACTCCTGGGCAACAAGGTAGGTCGGATATCTTAGCCAACATCACCGGGTTACTGTGAGTATCTAAAGAGGAAGCCATAGCTTAAAACTTTAATCGCTACCCCCAGAAGATGTATAGGTTTTGTTTGTCTAGGGAAACCGAACAGCATGCAAGTAAAATTTCTTCAATGAGAACATGTCCATGACCTAGAAACTCCTTCACCAAGCTGTCTCCTTGCTAGAGTGACCAAAGTTGACCAAGTAGCTGGACGAACCAACCATGCTCTTGTTGACGAACACATCTATCGCTCCACCGAGTCCCAAACTTGCTACGAGGTGATGCAACCAACCACAAGATGCATGACCTCATTAGAAAGGGATGAGATTAGCATTGACAGAATGGGTTGATCTTGTTGTACCCAAGCAGCGTACTCTAGATTAAAAACAGGCGGACCCACTGCATCATTAGACGTAGCTAGTGACATTATTGCCAGACATGAGAAAGAACCATCGACAAAGCCAAGCAAATTTTGATCCTAGAGGAACAACACCAATTGTGTACGCCAAAAAAATTATGAGACGTCAATTTTACCGACACGAGGAGATGTGCCATGGATAGAGAAACTAGTGTCGATAGTGATAGAGAAGTGGCGACCTTTGAAACAATCTACTCAGAACTAGCAGAATTATCATGCATGTCCTAGGCAATACTTGCCATTAGGGAACTTGAACTCTGATGCAAGATGAGAATTTCATTCTATATACATTACGCAATCAACAGATTATACAGGAAAATATGTACATATGATAACTCATAATAGTGTTACACTACACCTTGGACTATAGAGTCCAAACAACTCATACAATGTGTGACCTAATTAGATGCTCAAATCCCATTAAGAGGGAACTATGCTACTCCAATCCTTAAACAATATGTATGGACTTAGAGTGAAGTATCTATGGGATGTGGATCATAAGAAATTAAATCCGAGATTGCTCAGGAATTCCCCATTGGTCGACACCAAGATTCAGCAGCCTCATGGTCAGAGATTCCTATGACCTTGAGCGGTGACGTAGAACCAAAGTCACCTTGACAGCCACTTCGTCATCCGTAATGAGTCTAGTAATAAAAATTGAACAATTTGCGCCTATCGTGACAAAACAGAAGTGTAATGTGATACAGAGGAAGTTTTGCATTGTAATTAAAATAGTCAATGTTAAATTCATTTGTTTATTCTTTTTTAAATTCAAAGAATATATATATATATATATATATATATATATATATATATATATATATATATATATATATATATATATATATATATATATATATATATATATATATATATATATATATA